CGCTTCCTGCTGCCGCGCCTCTCGCCCAAGCCCCTGCGCGTCTGCAGCCTCTGCTTCCGTGAGCTGGCCGCCCAGAAGCGGAAGGAGGAGGAGGAGGAGGAGCAGGGCTCCCGGCCCCCCGGGCAGCCAGCCTACCTGGCCGGGGCCGTCTGCGGGGCGTCCAGCGGAGAAGATGACGACTCGGACGAGGACAAGGAGGGCAGTGGGGACGGAGACTGGCCCAGCCGCGTGGAGTTCTACGCCTCCGGCGTCTCCTGGTCATCCTTCCACAGCTGACGCCGGGTCTGCAGGCCTGAGGGAGGGCTCCCCTATGCATTTTGGCATCTAAGCAGATGCCACTGCCCAGGCCCCTACGAGGGCAGAGTTCCCGAAGCCACTTAGTGCCCTTAAGACTACTCCACAACACCCAACCCATGGGTGGCGGGCACAGAGGGAGTGGCTCCTTTTCCCTGAACCCTCAGTGCCTTTGTTTGGACATGGGCTTCCTTCTAGTTCTACTCCAGGTAATTTTTCATTTAGCAAACCACAAACACTTAGGCCTCTCGGGAACAAACACCATTTCTCAGCCCTTATGAGCCTTAGCTCCAGACCACCCCAGGCACCTTTAGGGAACAGAGAGAAGATAGGACTGGAGTGAGGTCCCCTCCTCTCTGAAGCCTTGAACCACAGCACCTGGCCCTGCCCCCCTGCAGGGAAGACTGTGGGTCCTGAGAGACCTCGGGGAAACCAGCGCCTGCCTGCCCTCCTTTCAGGTCAGGTATGTGGGCCCGCTCAGAGCCAGGCAAGAGGCTGCCATGCTGTGGGTGCCTGTGAGGCCCAGGGACTGCAGCCTGAGCTCCCCACAGTCCAGGGCAGCCTGCCAAGGCCACTGGCCCCATCTCCCATCTCTCCAGGTGTCTAAGGCCTCTCAGTCCTGTCCTCATCCCTCCCTGTGCTGGGGAAAGCAGTATCTTTCCACTGGGACTCTTAATTGCAAGTGACAGAAACCCTACCCAGACTGACTTAATAATAAAAAGAAAGTTTATTGTCTCGTGTGGTTGAAAAGCCTAGGAGCGTTCTTGCTTCAGACACAGCTCTGTGTTTGGGGATTGAAACCATGCTGAACAGCAAATGTCAACAATCATCCACCATGCTGGGTGTTCCTGGGAATACCGGCAGTTCCAGTGGGGTCAGATGTTCTCACCACACCCTGGCTGGGTCCCAAGCACACAGCTCTGTTCATCCAGATGCTGTGACCATGGCCTGGCACCTGCAGCCCCATTCACCTGGTATGAGTTATCTAAACGGACGGACAGCAAGTAAAGCAAATAAGGAGAAACTTGTCCAGCTCTGCCTGGGCCATCTGGGTTTAAAGCTCTCCCACGTGGCCTTTGGCCCAGGCCTGCCCCCAGGGATGGTGCCACTGAGTGGGGGCATCCCAAGTACAGAGCAAGTGTGTGTTGGGGCTGGAGCTTGAATGACAGCCTCCCGATGCGTGGCCCACACCTGGCCACGGAGCTGCAGGTCCTTCAGGGCGGTGTCCTATACCAGTCTTTCCTTCTCTCACCTGACTGGCAGAGAGAAGGGCCACTGTCAGTTAGAGCTGGTGACCTTGGGGCCAGGAAAGCTTCCCCAGCCCACACTTGCCTGAAACCCCACCATCAGCTCCAGTCTCTGGGTGAACAGTTGTCCTCTCTGCCCGGTTCTCAAATGCTCACATGCAGGCAGAACCCTGAGGATCTCCTTGGAGTGCTGACTCAGCAAGCTGGGCCACCCACTGAGGGAGGGTGGGAGGGGCAAAGTGTAAGGCGCCTCAGGCCGGCCTGTGGCCTAACCTGCAGGGCAGAGGGACCGGGGTGGGGAGGATCAGAGGTGCTTCCAAGAATTTACAAGCCCTTGGGCTCTCTGAGCCGCACAAACTGGTTCACGCGGTTCTGCCTGGGCAGAGGGCTCAGGTCAGGGCAGGTTGTGGGGTGCAGGGCAACTTACTGAAGACAGCCAGACCAGGCATCCTTGGAAGCCTGGGCCAGGCAGCCCTGTCCCTTCCCCCAGGCCTGGTGCCGGAGCAGGGAGTGCCCAGTTCTAGCCACTGGCCTCTTGGAGGCAGCCCCACTCCCCTGGAACCTCCCTTTCCCGGGGAAGGGCGACTAGAAGCACTAGGGCAGCATTCCTTGGGACAGGAGAGACGATTTCCACAGCGGATCCCAGGCACCACCAGCCTTCTCCATGGCTGCCTGCCAGAGGGGCACAGGGCACAGAACCCGAGGCAGGTGGGGTAGGCTGGCTGAAGTCTGTGCCTTCCTTGCCAGGGCTGGCTCAGTCCTCAGCCTTCGATCCTCAGAGCTGCTTCCCTCGCGCCCTCACTCCCCACACCCTGACCCCAAGGGCTGGGACAGGGCTGTGGCATCCCTGAGCCTTCATTCATGCAGGCTCACTCATTGCCATATGCCAGGTTAGGGGCTGGGGACACACAGCCGGAGTCAGACCCACGAGGTCACAGCTCTCAAGGAACATACAGCCTAGTGGGGGAGACACAGAGGCATAGGAGCAGGTGGCATGGTCCTGGTGTGGGCTGTGACGGCGGCATGGACTGGGGCATGGGGGGTGCAGATGGAGGACAGCGCTCCACAGAGGTGAGCTCACCTTGAATGGGGAGAATGAGTGAGGAAGGCCAGTTGGGGAGATGGTGTTCCAGACCGGGGGACAGCAAGTGAAAGGCCTCAAGGAGAGGAGGAACCCGAGTGTTCTGAGCAGCATGGTGGGCAAAGACCAGAGAGGTGGGGCGGGGGGTGCCGCTCAGATGCACTGGGAGCCCCCGGAGCCTTCAGCAGGGTAGCAGGTCTTCTGTTTGGTTTCAGGGCTGTGTACAGATGGCTGAGGTGGCGGGGGAAGCGGCTGTGCAGCCTCCTGCTCCCCCTGGGATCCCCAGAGTGGGACCTAGGCTCCACTAAGGCCACATCTGCCTGCCGCAGTGGGTGGCGGAAGGCAAGCCTTAGCTGCTGTCACCTTCCCCCAACGGGCTGGCCCCTGCCTTGTTCTGAGACACTCTGATGACAGCAGATGGGGCTGGGGAGCAAAGTAAAGGCCACAGGTGGGACATTTGCCCTGGGCCGAGGGTGAGGTGGGGCGGCGATCACTGCCCTTGGCCACTGAGAGGGATGTAGGGAGGAATCAGGACCCCCCACTGTGGAAGAAGTGGGCCCAGGGAAGGAAGGTGCTGCCTCGGGAGACCCGTCTCTGAGTCCTTATGTGTTTGTTTCCCTTCAGAGACAACCTCGCCAGCCTGGCTTGGGTCAAGTGTCAGGCCAGGTCCTGCCTCCACCCACAGCCCCCGGCTGTTCTCAGAAGGGGCCTGCTGCCCAGCCAGGCCGCACAAGCCTGCGCTCACCTCTGCCACCTCCCTAACAGGTGCTGTCATCCAGGACTCTGGAGTTACCCCAGTCAGGGACACACAGCTGACCCTTGCCCTTGGCCACCATGCTGCCCTCACACCTGGAGGAGGTCAGGCGTTTTTTAGGCCGAATCAGTGCCTCACTCCTTGTGGGTGTTCTGTTTTCCCCAGAATGATGCATAAGGTCTGGCAGCAGGGCTGGGCCTGCAGGGCCTGCATCCAGGCCCTCATACCCTCTCCTGGGGCTTCACTTGCAAGGCCTGGCAAGGGCATGGGAACCCACTGTCCTGCCAGCCATGTGCTCCTGTCCACCACCCAGGAATCTTTCCCTTCAGCTGGACATGGACTCCACATCCCTGCCAGAGGATGAGGCTGCTAACAGGCTTTGGGCCCTGGGAGGGGCCTGCCTAGGCCCTTCCTCTCTGAGATGCAGATGTGTGAGACCCTGAGGACCAGGCCCATGCATCTGAGGGGCAGTGGAGCCCCCCAGCCCCTTAGCATTGCCTGAAGCACCCTTACTGGAATCAGGCCAGATGGGTGAAGTCACAGCGGTGACCACAGGGCGCTTTGGGACTGACTGACAGGTAGGCCTCTCTTTCGAGTTTAGCCCACCCCTGGGCAGGAGTGTAGAGTTCCTCAGATATTAGGGGAGAATTACTCGGGGGTATGTCAGTGGCCCCAGCCTGTCAGTTTTGGCTGCTGGGATTTTCAGATACTGAGTTTTCTTAAACAAGGACCACCACATGTGCACTGATAACATTTGGGTGCTGTCTGCCACAGGCAGGCAAGGGATTCACAGGACCCAAGGAATCTTATCCCACCTTGATGATGGGGGAGGGGTTTTGGGTGCTGATGAGGGCAGTGGCTGCCACTTCCTGAGACCCATCTGTGCACTGGTCCCAGGGAGGCAGAGCCAGGTCACGCAAGACCATCCTCAGGCTGAAGGGGATAGACAAAGCCAGTAAACAGCTCCCGGGACAGCTGTGTGATGACGAAGGGCTTCCTGGAGGAGGTGGTGTTTGGTTGAGCCTCAGAGGACGGCAGGACTTTATCAGAGAGGGTGGGAGTTGCCATGAGGCCTGGGAGCCTGGGTCTTTTTGTTAATCATCCCCTCCTGTCCCTGGCATTAAATATTTGTTGACTGAATAAATGAATCAAGTAAGAAATGGACTGAGGGCGTTGGGGCAGAAAGGATGGCAAGGAAATGGAAGGAGCCTGCAGGCAGTGTGCTAGTTGAGAACCCTAGCCTCTGTCTGGAGGCTGGGGACCGGCCCCTTCCCCCAGACACTGACTGTTGCCCTCTCAGGCAGGGCAGGAAGTGCCCACCGACCCCCACCTAGGCAGAGCTTTCTGGAAAGATGACATCAGACTAGTTGGCAGGGGTCCAGTGGCTTCCTTGGGGATGGCGTCCAGGTTGGCATCTGAGGATTTCTGCTGGCCTGGCCTCCCCCCTGCCCCTGTCTGTTGTCTGGGACTCGACCAGAAAGAGGCTGCAGGGGGAAGCAGGGCCACTCCTGGGCTCAGCCACTGGGCGGGGAGGGGGGGACTTCGAGGCTGACCCAGTTCTCAGCCAGGACCCGGGGTCTCTTAGGCCACACTCACAAATAAGGCAGCCGCTTCCGCTGGCCCCCTTCTGCCCCGGAGCCAGCAGGAAGTGGCCCTCCTGAGGGCTGTTGTGGGCGGGAGGGGCTGCCTGTGCGTCTGGGGCTTTTCACACGTGGCACCGGCAGGGTCTAGGCTGCCCAACGCCTCCCTCCTCAGTGCTCGCTGGCTGGCTCCTGCCTCTCTCTGTGCCCAGGCCCCCATCTGCCAAGGCCCCCTGAGCACGTGGGTGCTCAACCTCAGCCCTGAGCAGACTCAAGGGGCCTGTGCCCAGAGGGCAGAACGTGGGGTGGATGCCAGAGGTGGGAGGAGAGGGGCCTGCCCCACTAAGCCTGACAGAGCTGGGCTCTGGGCTGACTCTGGCTGGCATTTTGCCTCTGCCCGTGAATTTGGCCCTACTGTGGACCCCAGTGCAGCTGCCACCTCCACTCTGCAGCCTTCCTGGGATGATCCAGGTCAGCATGGCTGTCCCATTTATGCTCCCAGAGCACCTGCAGCCCCTTCTCCGGCTTCCCCACCCTCTGTCCTCCAGGAGGTGCCTGAGGGGGCCTGTGTCCATCAAAGCTGGCCCTCAAGTCCAAGTCACTCAAAGGCAGGGGCCAGTTCAGTCATCACTCATCTGTGGCCCCCACAGGTCCCAATCCAGGCCCTGCACCATGGCCATTCCACAGATGCTTCTTTTCTAAGGGTAAGTGGCCTTGTGACTTCCCCTAGCTCCTGGGGGCCATTGGCAAGATGCCGGGTTCACAGGGACAGCTCCTGCATCCACAGCTGCCCTGACCCGCTTCTCCTAACCTGTTGATCTGGCCTCCATTGGTGTCTGCACTCAGGCTCCTAGCCACATACTGGGGTGTCTCCTGGCCTTTCTCTTGCTTGTCCCCAACTCTCCTACGCCCTTCCAGGCAACCCAGGTCCAAACTGAGGGAGTCTGTGGTGCCCCGAGGCCCCAAAGGAGCTTTCTTAGGGCCATGGAGGGAGTAGTTCCAACAAGGCCCACAGAGGTGGGTGTAGACCCGTCTGTACCGGACACTGCAAGGTGGAGTCCCTCTCCCAAAGGAGAGTGAGCCCTGAA